CCGCATTGCCCAGCACTACACGGACATATCTCATCTCCGGGGCACCACCACGATCTCAAGCGGGCGGTGACATGCGTCTTGGCCTGGACGGCTTGGTCTCTGTTTCAGAGCTTGCGGCTGCCACGGTGCTGATGAAGCTTGCTGAGAAGCGCACATACACATGCTTGACTCGTCGGAGAGCCTTTCAAACCGAAAGCTACCAAGGGCCACAGGTTTTGCGAGAAAGCTTGCCTCTCTGGTCTTGTTCAGGTGCTTGACGAAGCTTGCCTCGTGCAGGGTCATGCCACGTTGCACAATCTCATTGTCTTGATGAGAAACACCAAATTGTCCTAAAACCGCGCAAGTGAAGCTCGGCAAAGGGCCCAGTTGTCCATTGTGGCTCGCAGAAGCCGGCCTTTGTTGTACCTGCTGACGGGACGGAACTCTCTCATCACTGACATGCCACATGGCGTCGGAGCACGGATCCCACTTTGCCGCAAACTTTTCCATCATCTCACGTCTTTCTTGGTCCCTTACAATGTCATGAACCATGTCTGCCCATATAAACTGCGATGCTGGATCCCCGCTGTACTTCGAAGAACTTTTCGTGCACGAACTCCTGAAGCCTTCCAAGGCTCAAATGCCCAGCTTGACCAGTCAGTTAATCTGTTGGGTCCGTGGCCTGCCGTTCTCCTCCTGCACGTCTTGCAGCTTTTCCTGAAGCTTTCGCAGGTCTGCCTGAGCCCAAGGGAGTGCAGGGAAGTTCAGACTTTGGAGCCATGGCTGGGCCGGTGCCTCGGTCGCACAAGAGTCGAACTGCTGCTTGACGTACTGCAAGTCACGCCTGATGCCAGGAGGAATCCTTCCAAAGCTCGCCATCAGGCCAGGCTTGCCACCTACGGTGACCGAGGGGCACACACCATCACAGAATGCAAGTACTCCTGAAACATGGTGATCCAAGAGTGGCCAAGCTCGAAGGGTTCACTCTCTACAAGGGCACCTGGTCTTGCATCTGTTGCTTCATCTGTCAACACAACTTCAAAACACTTTCGAGCACTTCGTGAACATCCCATGCCCACAGCCTTGATGAACCAGCCCTTGTAGCCATCTCCACCTGTGGAGTCACAGTAGCGCAAAGCCATGCAGGCTGCTACCGTATGTAGATTCGATGTGTGTAGTGCTGGCCGCTGGACTGGCCTTCCATTGTCGCCCTTTCATTGGCCTTCCATGCACGTGCAACGCGCAGGCTTCCCGCTTCCTCGCGGCTCGGGAAGTGCCTGCTGAGAAAGGAAGGCGCGATGCTCCTGATGTGAGCAATCGCCCTTTCGAGAGTATAATCACCAGAACACATGAAAGGGTCCTCATCGATAGTCTTCACCTCCGTGGCTAAAGCCTCCCGCCAAGAACAAAGACGGAATATTGAACATCAAAACTACTGCTCCCCCAATCCCGGCACCTGCACGGCCTTTGCCATGCGCGCCACGTCTTCCCCCAACGCCTCACATACAGCCGAAGCAAAATCAAGACGGCCGATGTCTTTACATGGCCTCTCTGGTCACGGTCAGATTGCTGCTGACCTTCGAACATGACCGCTGCATGCTCTATCTTTGATGCAAGTATGTAATGATGGTAGTACGTCATCACACACACCCGCCTGCTCCAAGTTCTTTGCTGTGCGAAAAGCATGGTCTGCTGCGTTCTCGACACGATGTTGTTCCTGGCAGCAGGGCAAAGTCCTCTGCTCGAGGACGATTGCGAGCGGCATCGGCAGAAGACCTTTTGCTGACACGCTAACAAGCCAAGCAGACATCGCGGAGGCGGGCAGTGTTGTCGACCGTGGCAGCATCTGAGCTAAGATCACTGACACAGCATTAGGGAAAGGCTACTCGGCCACGTACTCTTTGGTGACTCGTTGCAACTCGTTCTCCGAGCCGGCTGCTGATCTCTGCTAGTTTGCCGAGGACTTCATCATGACCCTCCTGATGCTGCCTTTCGCATATTGCATCTCGCTAGAAGGGCGCGACAACACCCTCAGCCTGCTCTCCGTTCTCAGCGCTTTGAGAGCGTTAATCAAATTACCTCCGCGTGTCTTGAGGCTCTCTGTTCTACGTTGCATAGCCACACTTTAGCTCCCTTGCCTCCTTTGCCCAGTTGCTCTTGCAAGGAGACTTCGATCCTTCAACCGCGCAGGTCCACTGTGTAGGAAGAAGCGGCAGGTGGGCCTTGCGACACGGTCGGCCACAGAGAAGAACTCCATCTTCTCCACGAACATGGCCTGGCCAGTGGATCTATCAACCTTTCTTAGAGGCTACGAGTTCTAGTCCTCGTACTTCTCCCTCATCTCCTTGACTTCATCGCCTGAAGGCATAGAGCGATCACACATATGTCGCAGCCTCGGTGTTCTGCACTTCAAGGAAGGCACAGCTGCAAGTAAACAGGCTGGGCAGGCTGATGCGCTTCAGCTGCTCTCGAGGGAAGGCCTGACTTGGACCAGTACGAAGAATCCGAAGGTGCACAAACAAAAACTCGAATGCTTCTTTCCCCTCACGCAAAGAGGGAGGCCGTGAGGGGACCGGAGGGGAAGCAAGTGTACAGGAAATACGTTGCAAGTTCTACGATTGGGGCCACAACGGACCAATCTCGTACCGAAATCTGAAGCATACTTAGGTTCACTATCAGGGTCACAGAGTATCTGCTTTGGAGTCATGCAGGGGCTCGTGTAAGGGATATACACAGTGTCGAGGTTATCTACGTACGCTTCATAAGTATTTTGTACACGATCGATATACAATTTAAGGTTCTTATAGGGAGCGGAAGACCAGGCTACTCACGGAGTTGATGAGGTTAGGGCCGACGGGACTAGACAAGCATTCGCGAGGTTGCAAATGCCAAACTCAGACGCAGATGTAAAAACAGATTCTATGATGCATATATGACAAATCCATTCAAGAACAACTTGCTAGGTCGACATATAATATCCGCGAACCTCACAGATTGCAGATCCTGGCCGTTTACACGACTCCCATTGCACCTTCACAGGTACAAGCTTCAAGTCGCAACAGGCAATAGTAGTCAAGGTCAAAGGGGATGTAATCATTGCCCCTTTAATCTTCGGATGACAGGCACGGGAACCAAAACCAATGGCTCGGCTGCCGGCACGAACAGACGCCGATGATCGAGCGCCTGCCTTGCGTAGCTATCGCTTCGACAGCAAAACGTTCCCAGCCCTCATTGCCTCCTCAAACTTCCCCCATTGAGCCTGGGAAGTGACAGAGCTCATGGACGACATGACGCCCTTCTTGAACATGTCCTTCGATTGGCAATGAAAGAAAAGCAAGCATCCCTCCACCCAAACCAGCCGTCCTTTGCTCGGCTGGATATCCGATCAGGGGGGGCCAGCGAGCGATCCGTCAGCACAGAGTCTTTGCTGGTGCTGCGGCTGCCGCTGGCACGCTCGGCGCGCTCCGCAGCGGCCGTGGCGCGCGCCACGCGTGCTTGTGTAAGGGCTGTAGACAGTGACGCTGGGAGCGACTCCGTGATGTGGTCTTCTTCAGCCATGGGTGAAAAGGAAGTGCGTCTGTCTCGAGGCAGCTCCTCCACCAAGCAACAGGCTAATTCGGAGAGGCCCAATCATACCAAAAGCCCTTTGCCGGTCCTTTTCGAAGAGGTCAAGCAAGTTTGACGTCGCAGGCTCACGGTCTGGTGCACTTAGCCCCCGCTCCATAGACGAAGCCTACAGCAGCACACAAATGCTCCCAGAATCAGAAGCTCACAAAGGCCCTCAACCCTAAATCCTATTACCCTCTACCTTATGTCCTAATCCCTAGCAGATGGGGGTTTCCGAAAACTAGGGGACCCTAATATAATGCCCCAAATAATAGGATCCTTATTATAAGGACCCCCAATAAGGTACCCCCTATTTTCGGAAACCCCCAGATGCAGGTGGCCACAGGAGGCCTGGGACCTCAGGAGCTCCTCGAGCGCGGAACCCCCCGAGGAGCGGCCGCCACTCTTCTCCTGGAGATGGTGGCTGTGCTGTGCAGCAGAGGCCTGTGGTATAGTATAGTATAGTCTAGTCTAGTCTAGTATAGTATAGTCTAGTCTAGTCTAGTCTAGTCTAGTCTAGTCTAGTCTAGTATAGTATAGTATAGTATAGTACGGCATGTTAACTACAGCTATATACTACAGTTCGCGATAGTTTACGATTGTATAGCAAAGTGTGGCCTAGCATAGTAGGACAGCAGTGCCTGGCCTGCGTGCCGTTGTCTTGGACAAGGGCAGTCTCTGTGGGGCCTGTATCATCCGCTGCTGTGCTCACAGCTGTGGTCTCCTGGCACGAGAGACCGCTAGTTGCTAGTCTGAGACGAACTCAAGCAAACCATCCAGAGCAGGAGCAAAACTGCATTGTCATGCTAAACACAAAGATGTCGAGGCTTCTGCCATCGGTTTGCCTGTCCTGATTCTGTCCACTATCCGGAATCCCGGCAATGTCAGAAGCTGGCCTGCACGGCAGAACATACTGCTGGTTTATCAGGACATCACTCCCATGACAATTCCTGGGCGCTGCCGGTTGCCGGAGTTCCCCGACCGCTTCATCATCCTGCCGCAAGATTTTCGGCTTCGTTTCTCCAGTATCTAACGGTTCGAGACTTTGTGCTACAAGCGACGGCAGCCTACAAAGGTCAGCAGCAAAGGCAAACACAAACCGTGAGTGACCAGGCAACACTGTCCTCGTCAGCATCAAGCATGGCCTCTTATGCTGAAGCGGAAAAGCTAGCCGTGACGCTGCTGGTAAAGACGTGGTTTGAGATAGCTGCTGCAAGCAGCCGGGCTCAACGGCCGGCAAACATCGGCTGATCCATTCCTGCTCTAGAAGTTTGCTGAACTTGATCTTGTTTCAAACATTTTCAAACCACTATCGCCCTCCATCTGCATTGTAAAGTTTCTTTGCGAAAATGGCTGTTTCAGGCGATGCCCTCCTTCGAGTTCCCATTCTGGCTGTGTTAGGTGATACGACTACTTCATGCACTCTTGGAGCTTTGAGCGCAGCTTGGTCCATGTCGGGCTCCTTGAAGCTGAAATGCGACGTGACGTGGGCATTGGTACGGCAACGGGAGGAACTGAACAGGAGCCCCAAACTTCGCTCTGCAAGAAGCATTTTTTTCCTCATCGTGTGGCATGAGAACCAGTTCGTCATCCCCAGGATCGAGGTCCACCTCACAAGCTCCAGGCGTCCCTGCGACGGCCTCGTAGGTGCAGAGCGAGACCTCTGAAACATCCAGCAACCTCAGATAGATCATTCAGCCCTTGCGCAGTCAACAAAGGTTTTTCGGCCCTCCTCGCCGCAAAATCAAGCTCAGCTACCCCACTTCTCCAGCGCAAGTCAGCCAGACTTTCATGGAACGTGCCGGACCAGCTGGACAGCGCTGGCCTCCAGTGTACAGCATGGCCTTGCCCTCCCAGCCATCGAAACTGCCAACGTGGACGGATCCTTGTCGCGCATCCTGGAAGAAGCAGAGTTTGAAGTCCTTGCTCAAGAACCGTCTCTCCACACATTGTTCTACCAAGGAGAACCATCGGAGGCCGCTCTCCACCGCCGCCAGCTTCCTTTCGATGGCAAAAAGCCTACCTTTCAGTTTGCGAGATTGTCTCGCTGCCTCTTCGGCATCTTGCTCGTATACACGCTGCAGCTTTGCATCATCGGAATTTCCAGATTCATCTCCACAGCATGCCGCGAAGGTATAAACGCCATCCCAGCACTGTGACCTTCCAAGGGGTCCCTGACTCCTGTCGCAGCAGACCTCCTTTGCGTTTGCAAACTCTCCCACCCAGCACTGGACTGAGCTAGGCTCGGGGACACGCTGCGGGACAGCTTGTACAGCCCACCGTGCATATTCAGAGACCACCGGACTTCCACTCGTTCCGGGCTGTGCTCCGAGCTGAGGGGCCACAGTCTCCACGCCTGCTAAAGGCGCCATCGATTGCTTGGCACTGGCGGCGCTCGCGAGCAGCTTCTTCAAACCTGACAGTGGGACTGGGAGGCAGCAAAGAAGTGCCCGGACACTGCCCAGCTGAACATGATTGGAGGCCTTCATGTTCCTCTCGCCATTCTGCAACCTGCCAGATCCAAGCGTTAACGCACGGCCGTGGGCTTGGCAACCTCTTGAGAACTTCCAGAGGCAACAAAATCGCAGATGCGAAGACGAGCATCTACTTGGCTAGAAGTTAGACTGGAGAAACAGCAGATTGTTCTTAGCCGGGTTGGTATGAAGGGGGGAGTTCCTGCAGGTCCCGTTGTCCTTCCTCCTAGGAAAAATCTCAGAACAGACCACAAACCAACAGGCGGATGCTTGTCTTCGCATCCGCCTGCTGTTCAACCTGTGCACATGTAATTTTCCTAAGCCGTTCTTTAGCCGTATGCAGGATCAGCTTTCCTGCGTTTGTTCCAGCTTTTGTGTAGCTTTTATCTCCTCTGTTCAACTGCTCTTCCCTTTTGCCAGGAAATGAACCTTCAAATACTAAGTTACAAGTACTAGTAACTAGTACCGGTGCCAGTGCAAATGCCGGTGCCAGTGCCAGCTACTGCTGCTCCTGCTGCTGCTGCCACTGCTACTGATGCATGGATCACGGTAGATTGGACGTGCTGTCAGAGCCCAACAGAAGGGCAGGACAGAAACCCACAGCGCAAATCTTGCGGTTTCAAACCGGGTGCCTGCTTCAACGCCTCCGTTTCACCACTTCGACGAAGTTCTCGGCCCCGGTGGCGATCTGCTCTCAGTGCCTGCCTCTCGCACAGCACACTATCGAGTTGGGGAGTGGCCTCTGCCTATCCCTACCACGATGAGGCCTTGCTACATGTTCCGGGAAATGAGGTGCTTCAAGGATGCCAAGTTGCTGCTGAGCTCGAAGCACAGGCCCCTCGAGGCTGCAGGTGTTCGGGCAACTTGAAGACCACTCGTCGGATCCATCACAACAATCGCAGATGCCGTCGGCAACATGCGACGAGTAGATGAGCTTGGGGATGGACTCTACGTTGCTACAATAGAAAAGGCCGACGCCAGCACAGGCAGGCGTCCCAGGTTCATCGGATCCGTCTGCACAATCGCAGAAGTCGTCATTCACAGCATCGGTTTCTAGAACCGCCGACCCGTCAAAACAATTGAAGGATCCCTGTTGCAAAGCTTCCAGGTATTTGAAAGCCACTTGCGGTCGAGATCCCAAGAGCTGCTGGCTGGCCCATGCAGTGACAAACTGCCAACATAAAACACGCCGGAGCATGCTTGAACCGGGCGTGTGTAACGTCGTGACCTGTATGGACAAGTATGGGCACATGCGAGCATGGAGGCAGACTGCAACAAGCGCAGCTCGCCGTTTTGCAAGTTGCCAGGATCCCCCGGTAGCAACATGATCAGCAAGAGCAGTGTCTAGGGTTAAGGGCCGGGGCATCAGAGTGTTCTCAACTTAAGAGAACTGAACTCCTCAATGGAATCTCAGAAAGCCAGGTCGGAGAGGTCAGCGCTTGGCTGGTCACCCTTGGAAGGATTGCTCGTAGACCGGCAGCTCCTCCCAAGCAGGGATGAAGGGCTTTGGATACCGGACAGCTCGGTCCCTTGGTCCTTCGCTCGGTGCTCCTTGGGAGCATCCGCCACCGGTTTCCACTCGTCACCTCAAGCTTTGAGTTGGGGTTGGATCAGGCTCGGGTTCGCTTTTGGAACACTCAGCTCTGCACCCCAATCGTTGGCCCATGGACTGCTATCATACTCTAAACGCGAAGGCTTCACTTCGCTTTTGGAAGGTGGTGCATCGGTAACTGTCCACACGTTGATTTGGACGTTGTCCTTTGTTGTCGTAGCAGCAGGCGTTGTGGTGCGCTGAGACTTGGATCGCCGGAAAGGCTTCTTACCATCCACTCGCTCCAAAGACTTGATGTGGACCACGAAATCGTCTTTGCTGGGAGCCTTGGTCGGTTCTGGAACTATCTTCACCTTCGGAACTGAGGATTTCTCGGGCGTCACATCGTTCGATAACATGTGGACCGTGAAGTTCCTCTTCTCCCCCTCTGCTTCCAGCGTCTTCATGCTGGGCTTCTCAGCAGACGTCTTGTTGTTGATAGACAGAACCCTTGTCTCTACCACGACTCCAGAATCATGCTTCTCCTTGGCATCCTCTTGGGCCTTCTGCACTTCATCGTGCTCCTTGTGGGGGAAGGCAACTAGGGCCACAGACCGGAGTCCAAAGAACTTGACCCCGGAACCCCAAATCCCCTCTTGTGCCTGGTGGGGAGCCTCGCCAAACAGTCCAGCAATGGAGGTCTCCATTTTGGTGTAGACACTGCGGAAGCCCAGCCATCCCGATGCCTCGGAATCGGGCTCAAGAGTTTCGCCCTTGGCAGCAAAGGTGTGTGTCCGCCTCCTCGGAAGCCAGCTTGGATGGACCTCGAATGTCGAAACAGGACTGCAGGGCTCTCTTTCACGACACTGAGGGAGCTGCCACTCCGGAGCACAGGGCTGGCCTGCTCCCATGGAAGAAAAACACGCTCTTCGCACGTATCTGCAGGCCTCCAAGAGAGCTAGATGCCCCAGAAAGGCCAAGCTCAGCGCCTCAGCATGCTCGCAGGAGGTCCGAAGCCCTGAACTGGCTTAAAACCTGGGAGGCGCGCATTTCAGGTCCACCGCTTCAGGTCCGCATGGGTGCGTTTCAGGTCCGCATAGGTGCGTTTCAGGTCCGCCACCCTAAACCCTAAACCCTAAACCGTAAACCCTAAACCCCAAACCCTAAACCGGACCTGAAATGTGCGCCTGAAATGCGCGCGTATGGATCTGAAATGTGCGCCTGAAATGCGCGTGTGTGAACCTGAATCATCGGACCTGAAACTGGACCTGAAATGTACCCTATTGCGCCTGAAACTGACAACGCTCCTTAAATCCTGGGCCGCAGACTCGCATCATTGAGGCGGAGATGCGGGGGCTCTGCGGGAGGCACCTCCCTGATGAGCCCCAGTGGCTGTAAAGGATCATGCGGCAGACTGCTGCGAATCTGGTTGCGGGCCATCGGTGCGACAACCATGAGGCACAGTTGAAGCAGCATTTTCTAATCGAGGTCTTTCGAAGATTTGCATGAAGAGGCTCTCGTGGCTCTTCGAATTCGACAGATCAGCAGGTCAACATGAGCTCGAGTGGCACCACCGTTGACACTGAAACTTTGCATCATGCTCGTGTATCTCGTCGTGTCTATTTATTCAAATGCAGCTAGCCTCGTCGCGCTTGCCTCCTTTGGCAGTCAGCGGTTGCTGGTTTCATTATCAAAGATGCAGGATTTCATAGAGAAGCCTGCTAACTGAAAAAATCTGGTGGCTAGAACGGAGCATCTAGCCGTACTAAACTCGTGCAGAAAGCCAGGGCGGCCGAATTAGTCATTCAGTTGTGTAGCTTTCTCTAAGTGGGCGAATTTCATCATGCTTTCGAATGTATCTGAACTCAGACGGCAACGTCTGGAAGGATGTGCGGAACACATGGAAGGCGAAGCGCTCTGTACTGACAAGAAGAGCGTCTACGTTGACACAGTCCCCTTTGCCATAGAAAGGCCCTTTGTCTAACGTAAACATAACATGGAGCATGCCCCTGTAACACACGTAGTACAAATAGGAAGCGACCAGTGGCCAAAATTGGAAGCACTGCTTGGTCTCTTCGTACATCTTTGTCGGATAACCAACTAAGGCCAGCGACAGCAAGATGTTCGTAACCACCACCATCATGACTCTAACCAGCTGGCTCCTCAGAATGGGATAAACTGACCCTTTCGGAAGGCCTGCCGTGCCTTGTGCCTGACAGAGACTGAGGACCTGACGTTTGCATGTCTGGCATGTCTGCGAGAGAAGCCAAGATACCGCGCAGGTCACAAACTTTTCGCATAAATACATCCGAGTCTGCCGCCTGAACGAAGCCTCGCTCGAGCTCGTCGTGCCACAGAATACCAAGCCAGGAAACGAGAGTGTCTCGTAGCTTCGCACTTGCCATAAGTATCTGGAAGCACTCGCTGTCCACGAGCAAGCCCATAGTCCGAAGGTCCTGTCAAGCAGAATCCCCCCCTTTGAAGAGACCTTCCCGGCAGAAGCGGTGCAGAAACACTTCAATCTTAACCACCGACTTTCACATGTCCTGTACAACTTGGTCGGGAGACGTTCCTATGCGGGGATCGAGCTTGAAATATGCCAAGTAGTGTATCGCATTGAGATACCTGTACCATTTGAACAGCATTTGCCGCTGCTGCTTTCCCACACATGGATCGTTCAGCTTGCGGTAGGAGCTTGCAATCACCAAGCCAAGGTCGTGCAGTCGGCCCTGGATGCTGAACCTGGCGCGATGCTCATGCAAATCATCCACGGACACTAGCAGATTTAGCTGGAATGCACGGCATGACGAGCATGTCACCAGCTTCCGACATGTCAACGGTACTACACCTGCTACCCAGCCTTACGCCCAAAGCCCAATCAGTCCATCAAGGCAAGGTCAAGGGGGGACGAATTATGTGGTGATCCGGAAACCTGCAACCTTCTGGGTTGCAGCTAAGCCACATTGTCTGAAGCCATTTCAGCCATCGGGTCACATCCTGCCCTATCATATAGGTGATGAAGAAAGTGGGTAGAAACTTAAAGTCGTCCATGATTGAGGCGACTGTCTGCATATTCATCAAGAACAAGGTGTACCAATCTTCGTCTTGGAGAGTTGGGTCCACTTGCTTGTTCTTGTCGATGGTGGATCTGACTTCCGCCAATAATGCCCCGACCATCCCAGTGGCAAAGGCAAAGGTCAATGCACTAAAGGCTGTCCGCATCAGCCCGGATGTCATGATGTAGACCAGAACCTGCATTGGCGAGGTGTACATCTGCCGGAAACACGATCCAGCGGGCGGTGGGATGCTTGACTCACCATTGCCAAGGCAGAAGTTCTCTTCATCACGATAGAAGCTCGCAAAGCCCATCGAGCCTCTCAGAAGTGCCATCTTGACCTCCACGAACTGGACGTGCTTGCAGGCGACCAATTTGGAGGTGAAGTCTGCCCGAGTGTACAAGGCACGATCTTTCTGACGCCTGTCAATGTCCGACAAGTCCGTTGGCTCCCAGTTCGGATTCAGGGCCTGACAAGTCCGGCGACACCGCTTCTTGCAGGTCCACAGCATCCGTGGCAACTTGAACAGGAAAGCCGTTCCCACCGTCCTGAGGTGCAAGTCTAGACAAGCTACCTGTCGAGCTGCTATTCTGGATGCTCAAGCCTCACACGAAAACACATATGTATATATATATATATACATACATACATACATACATACATACATACATACATACATACGACACAGACACCCAGGCAGGCAGGCGGGCAGGCGGGCAGGCAGGCAGGCAAACAAAGACAAACAAGAACAGAAATAGCCGCAAGGCTGCCACGCTCATGCCTCCTGTTGTGACTTCGAAATCCACCAGCTAAATGCCGTGAAACAGAAATCCCAACCGGTTCTGTATCTGCCAGATGACAAGAGAAGGAAAAGGTAGAACGTTGGGAAGCAGCCGGAAGTTGGCGGAAAGTTCTCAATCATGCGGACCTGTTTGCTGAACCTAATCCAGCTGCCCCATCTCGCAGTCCCCTCACGCTGCAGCCACCTACAAGCTGCCACTTTCGCATCACCGTCTGCATCTCGCCAGGCTTGGAACAGCTTCTCATAGTCATTGTCGTCCAATCGAAACCTCGAGGCGAAGTGCTTGGCGTCCGGAGACGCTTCGACTTTTGGTGACACGAGGATCTGGAGCGGCTTCCCGTCCAGGCGACACGCAAAACCTCCCGTAGGGAAGCGGGTCTCCGTGGAGTTGCAGCCGTACTTCTTCGGTGCGAAGTGGATGGGCACGAAGGTGCTGGCGGGGACGCCATCCACTCCTTAGGCTGTAAGGCCTTAAGCCTTAAGGAGCCCACAGAATAAGCCTACGAAAGCCCAGGGTCTCATATTTCAAAAAGCCCTTCAGTGGATTGATGCAAGAGTAGGGACCGGCATCTGGATAGTGATGCTGGAAGAGGATGTCGCGCTTAGAAGCATATGCTTCCCAAATCTCCCTTTCCTTGTTAACGGTGGTCAGGTACTGCACGGCCAGCGGCAAAGCATTGTTGGCGATTTGCTGCTCAAGAATGCCTGCATACGTTGGCGCATGTCCCGACCGATCTTGACAGTCGCTCTAGATAAAAGTGGAGCAAAATTGGATGTTGTCTGTTGCAAGATGCAGTGATGCAGCCTTCAGGAGCCTTGTGCAGAGATCCCTGCGGATCAATCCCTTGCATATGTGGATTCACTGGAGACATGTGTGCAAGCTGGTAATCCTGCAATTGCGTCCCCTTCTTCGTGAGGCCTGGCTGAACCTTAATCATTCACATGGGAGTTTCCGAAATTAGGGTACCTTATTTTGGAGTCCTTATAATAGGGATCCTACTATTTAGGCTACCATATTAGGGTCTCCTACTTTCGGAAACCCCCACATCTTATCAGCACGAGGACCTTTCCTCGACGAATCGTTCGTTGAATGGTCTTTCGGTGACGAACCGTTCGGCAGTAAACCCTTTGGTGACGAATGTTTCGGTAGCAGATCTTTCGAAGACGAGACTTCCGATGATTGGGATTTCATTATGTGGAGCTTAACTTGAAGATGTGTTGTCTATTTTGTGCATTGCTTATCACCTTGAGACTCTCGGCATCAAGCAGCAAGCCCTTCAGAGCCTTCGAGGAAGGAAAATGCTCTGCAAGCCATTGTGCTCGGGGTTGCCCTTCTTGGAGGTTCATGGGTAGTTATAAGTGGGGTTATAAGTCCCCTAATATGGGTTATAAGTATAGTTACCCTACTTATAACCCTATTTATAACTACCCATGAACCCCCAAGTTCCGTTTTGAACTGAAAGATTACTTGCCTCTCCGAAAGATTCTCTCGATGCTGGAGTTTGTGCGAGGATGGTATGCATTGTGCTAAGTCTGCCTTAGCGCGAATCACTGCGGTCTCAATGCCTTGTGTGTAGTGCGTGTAGTCATGGAAGACCAGACCCAAGCAGCGCATTGTGTGTTCCCGGCATGCCGGTGGTTGCCAGGTGAAGTTGGTGCAATTCCATTCTGGATCTGCGCACAAACCAGTAGGATCAGCGGCAGCCTCGCCTGCAACCTCTTGTCTTGCAAATATCCACTGAAGCCGGGGAGTCTGCAAATATTGATAGAAGGCAGCTTCAGGATATCTGTCCACGGTATGCTTCAAGGTGTACAGGCCACTGGCGGCAACCGTGCTGTGAGAGTTTGCCACGAAAGCATCGCCACGTCGAACCCACTCCTCTATCTGTGCCTCTTTACCACCCTGCCAAACTTCGAAGTTTGCATCCGCCTCCCCCAAAGAAATCGCTCTGAAATCGTGAACGGGGCCTAGGTCCGGATTCACGCGGACAACATCATACATAAGAATCTCTTCCAGCAGAATAGCCGCGACTTCCGTGACAAGCTGGTGCGAGGCCCAGTCGCGCTTGATAAGTTTCAATGTTTGCCCTTGCCTGGGCCTGTGCGGGATGTTTAGATCGCATTTTTCTCCGGCCGCAGCACTCGCCAGCAGGACTAGGAGGAGGGCAGCAGCGAGCAGCCTCTCTTCCAGCCATCTGCACATGCACCATGGCACCATGCTGCTGCCCAAACCCGCCAATGGTTGCGGCGTTTTGAGCCGACTCGGCACATGCTGGAGATTCAGGCCAAAAAGCAGGAGCAACAGATAAAGTGAAACAGGCAACAACTGCAATGCACCTGTTTTAAACGGCCTCTGCCTGTACATCGCTATCGTCAACCTCGGGTAGGAGGACTGCCTGGCGGGTGCTTGCCTTAGCACGGGAAACAGAGCTGGAAGGACTCCTTTCCACCTGGCTGAGCCTTAGCTGCAGGCACTTTCGCCCGTGGAATCGGGTTTGGGGTCCTCTGGCTCTGGCTGGGAGACCTCTACGTCGTAGGTGCTTGCCTTGAAGCAGAAAGCAAAGAACCTAGGGACCTCTTCCGCCTGGCTAAGGCCCATGCATCGCTGGAGCCATTGAGGACCTCTGCCTGGGAACTTGGCTGGGAACCTGCCACAAAGCGAATGTGGCCGCAAGGCTCCGAATCACTCTGCAGACGGTGCCTTCCGCGAAAGCAGCGGGGTCCTCCCCCATTTGGCGAAGTAGGCCCTCACAGCAGTCTGACCAGTGGCTACTGCTGGCCCACGTATGTCTAGACACTCATTCAGAGCATTCTGGCCTCGACCCCGAAGTAGGTATCAGGGGGATACGTCTCTGCCGTGCCTGCCAGGAGTTGACTGCGTTGAACAGATACGCTCGTTAACAATTTCGATGGCCGCGCTTTCTCTGAACTGCTCCAGCTCGGAGTCCCGGAGCAAGCAGCTGTCCAGAATCCTCAGCGTCAAAGAAGCCACGGCGGTTCGGAGCCTCTGGGGGCTAGGAGAACTAGGGTCGGTGCTTGGAAATGCACTGCTCGCGCATGTCCGGCCCACCGATAAAGACAAGCTCTTGCCGTCTGTCCCCCCACTCTTCCTGCATGACGTCCCAAAAGCTGCAAGGCAGCGCAGAGCTTCCGCTCAAGGAGCAAACACGCCTGCCACTTCTCCCGGCGCGCTCGCTCAAACTGCGCCTTCGCACCGGGGTAACCTGGTGAGACAGCAGCGGGGACGGCAAACCTCAAGGGCCTCCATCTGCTGTCCCCTTCAACGAGCGAAAGACATACTTGGAAGTTCAACTGGTCCGGCTTCAAGACGGCCCACCACCAGTCCTCTAAGTGTCGTCAAACCCTCTGTGTCAAATGCTGTTGTCGACCCCCTGCTTGCCTTTGGAAGCACCGACAGAGACCTGCCCGCGTGAGACCACTCGTTGACCTCAGGGTGTTCTGGGTGAAGACAGTGTTCCCATATGGGCTCGAAGAAACAAGGCAGATGCCCGAAAAGGCTCGGAGTCCACCCAGCAGAAGCCTTTGGACCGCAGAATGGGCTTCAGCGCCTTCTGCAGTTTTGAGAGATTTCAGCACATTTGGGCAACGAAGACAAGGGACCTGAAGGCCCTCGACTTCTGCGTCCACCTCGGCTTCCCCACTTTCGAAAACCGCCTCAGGGCCCTCCTCCCATCCGGCCTCTAGCTCGTCTAATCCGAAAGCCTGCTTCTTCCGTGGCAAGGGCCAATCTTCGATCAACCTGTCCATGCTGTGCCGTCACATGCTCTCACACGGAGCTTTCCGGGCCTCTGCAGGCGAACCGCGCTGAAAGGCCTGCGTCGCTCGTACGTGAACGTTCGGATGCCTCGGCAACTGCAACTCTCGCCCAACACAGAGATGCCTAAGACAGTGGAGAGGGAAATTCGTAGGTTCGAAACCAAATCTTCTGCCAGCTGCCCGGGCGTTCCTGTGAAGCTCGATGTTCATCGGTTCCCGGCTGACCGATTCTGCAAGAGCCTCCCAAAAAGGCGCTGCCTGCCCCGGCCGTTATGGGCACCTCGGCCCAACTCTCAGCTCACGCTGACGCCGACTTTCAATGCCCGCCTCTACCGGCCAATGCGGGGCCCTCCGAGAGTTCCTCTGCCGCCGCCACGGGCTCGTGCTCTTGCCTTTCGCCACGACTCGCTAGACAACTCCGCCACTACGCTTTCCTCTGCAGACCCCTAGCCGGCCCTAGCCCTAGCGCTCATCCGGTCGCTTGGAACACTGCGCCGGCTGATCGGGCAGGTCTTTCTGCCAGATGTCCTCCCACATGCCCTGATCGGGTCATCCCCGCACCCAAAACGCTGCACAAGGTCGGAGATGGCCTCCTGGCTCTTCTCCAGAAATACCGCGACGTGGCGGTCATCGCCTCGCGGACCGGCACGGCCCATCTGAAGGGACTCCCTGCTCGCAACTTCTGAACTCCTTCAACGCCAAGCCGAGAGAAATGGGCTACCCGATGTAGATGCAGCAGACAGGCCATTGCCAAAACAGCGAAAGCGGCATTAAATCTACATTGCATTGCATAGAAACCGCCTTGCATTGCAACTCTCGGTCTCCTGCCTTCACCATCCAGCTCCCAAATCCATTCCTCGATTCCCTGCCATGTCGGATGCGGTCTAGGAAGGGAAAACCCTCCGACTATGACGGACATTTCTGACTAGCTTCAGTTCTCATCAACACGACGATGGCTTCGTTTTGCCGCAGCTCTGTTACATGGCTAACCTTCAGGACCTCTTCAAACATTGCATCGAAGCTGAGAGCTGCAGCTCCTCTTGCCATCCGTGCGCAAGTTATGTAGCCCTGCTCTCTACCACGAGTTCGGGGACCTCAGACCTCAGGCCTCGGAGAAATTCAATGGCAGAACTTCGGTAGGGTACGGGCCAGCTTCATGCTCTTATCGGGACTCGGCAGCTTCATCCGAGTTTAGACGTGTCAGTTCCACTAGGAACAACTCAATGCTCTACTATGCGCCGTTCAAGCAGCGAGCTGCTCCCTCGTTTTTGCTCTGGACGAGGCGTCTCGCTAAAGGCTGTGGCTGTGGCATCATATTCGAAACTGCGGCTACTGGCTGTTCGGCCTTCAGCCGACCGAAGAGCTTTCCTTGTAGTCGAGGCACTTGCTCGCCCTGCACCTTCCGACAGAGATCCACAACATCTTGGATGCGGCTGCATGGTTCCAATGCTCACCCATATCTGTAGCCAAGTTCGGCCAATGTCAAAGTTGATGTCCTTGGACTTGGCGTCGGCTGGAACCTGGCTGCGCTGCAGTGGAAAATAACATGCTGGATAGTCAGGAGTCTCCTTGACGCGGAGCTGCAGAACTTGAGGGTTCTGTGCCCACCGGTAGTTTCGTCCTGTCCAATTCACATGTCTGGTGGACACTCTGGAGAGGAGCTAGAACTCGTAGAGAGTTAAACTTCACATTTCGAGGGTGTGGAGCTGCTAGACTCCGAGACCACATCGGACCAACACCTACAGAGAAGCTTACCCCAGAAAATCAGCAACCTGAGCAAAGCTCTGCCAACGTACAAAACATCCAGAGTCAGAAAAACTGTGAGCAGATGCTCTCGTGGACATGATACGGCCGCCCTTCAAAGTCCTCGCCCGAACTCGGGATACTTGATCCCCTCGGGGATCTCTGGGAGCAGTTCGATGGGGCTCACCTGAAACGACTCTTGCCGTAAGCCGCAAGTGACACATCTACAAGCGCAAATTTGGCCTTGCCATAGCTGCACCGAATCACATCAGCATCGCCATTGATTGCCCTCAGCACCTCATGTCACAACAGCAAGTCAAGTCTGGCTTGTGCCGAAAGCCGCGAAGAGCGAGAGTTTCCCGAGGAGCCTCTTCGGTGGTCTTTGCTTCCTCATCACTGGCGAGATCGATCTTGTTCATCAGCCTCACCCGCCCCGGATATCTGTTGCCAGAGACGCCTTGACCGGTCTCTGAGCTTGGCGCACGAGATCTGCTTTTTCGACCTGCTCAGCCAGAAGCTGGCCAACCGTCTCGAAGCCTCGGCGTTCCGAGCTTGCATCGGTCGAGAGTGTCTTCACACTGCTCGAGTCCCACCCTTGTGTGGCAGCGGCATGCCTTGCTCGTTCCTTGCCGACGCCTCGTCGGTTCTGACTCTGTCGCTGCACGGCATCCGACGTAGAGCAAGGCCTTTCGGCTGTCGATCCAGTCGTTCCCAAAGAGACTGGCATCCACCACCGCGATCGTCCGCTTGATCTCTGTGAGCAAAGTGGCAGGCATGCCTGAGAACAGGTGGGCAACCGCAAGCCGCAAGCCGCACTCTTCCGCCCTCATCTGTCTGAGGTCAGTGACCCACTTCCACGCCAATGTCCCAGTGCCGCCTGATGGCTTCTGGCCTCCGGACATGTCCCAGCTGCTTAGCTGTGCAAAAAATCCGAGTCTTGCATGTTCTGAATACGCGGAGTACTCGGATGCCAGCTCACCGACACCGCTCATTTCGATCACCACATGATGGAACGGCCTGCGGATGCGACACTCATGTCTGCTCGCTGTCCACAAGAAGTCCTCCCAGAACTTCTTTAAGTCTGAACTCGAAACTAGGAAGGCACCCCAGGCAGAGACATCAACAGGAACGGCGCATGATGCCCATTCGTCGACATCGATTTCATTCTCATTCCGACCGTACTTGCAGGGGCCTTCCGTAACACCTGTTCACCAGCTCTTGTACTGATGCCACCAGATCATCAGATGCTGTGCAACAAACCTCAGGGCGTGCGACCAAAACAAGATGATGTTGCTAAGAAGCAGATCAGGACTCTGCACATCCATTAGCAAGCTCCGCAATCTCAATGGCGCCATTCTTCTCGTACCTAGCATAGCGCATTCTCAGCCGTGATCATGTGCTGAGAGGACATGAACCCAGATCAAGCCTCTGGATCAACTGAGCGTCAATGTTTACAGCGGCGACGTCGTTGACAACAACTCCGATTCCTCAGTGCATGCTACTGCCACGGGCATCGGACCTCATCTGGCTGGCTTGGCTCCGGACGCACACCCTCCTGATTCTCGAGTATGTGCTTGAGCAGTGAGGTCTTTCCTGCCCGCTCGTGCCCAGAGAGACCAACATGTCGGCCAAGCCAACAGTGCGATCACTGCGATCCTGAGCCTAGAAAGCCAGTCAGCAGCGTGACAGGTGTTCGTGTCACATCCTCGCTGGCCAGTCATGCTCGTCAACGTTAACGTTGGCTTCCAGGACGGAGTTCTAGAGGTCCTGTCCTTGATTCTTTCGAGGCGCTCCTCAGTGTTGTTGAAGTCAAGGATAGTTGTCATTGGCCCTTCTTCCTGTAGCAAAGCGACTGGACAGCAACAGAGATCGCTGGTCGCCGTAACCCCACCTCGTCGTCGTCCTCCTCTGCATACTTCTGGGAATAGCCGAGCCTGAAAGGCCAAGCCACCCCCTGAAACTAGAAACGACTTGTCCGCTCGTTCGCATGATTATTGCGCTCTCGAGTCTTTCTTCAAGACATCCACAGGCCTTCCCGAGCCTGCACCCCGCTTTTCCTTCACCAATGGGCCCTCGGGCAGCATACCTGCAGGCTCCTAGCACTTTAAGAACTTTAAGATGTCTGAAAACGCGCTACCCTTCATAATTAGAATAGGGTTTTGCGGGTTCCTTAGTATATTTATAGTACGATTGACCCCCAAACCCTATAAACCCTAAACCCAGTAGGTCGGCTGCTTGCAGCGGCAGGGCCGGCCGAGAGTGTGCTTCGCGATCGCGGGTGAACCTGCGAGTCCTGAGATCAGAACGAGTCGTCGCAGGAATCGCCATGGTATATTATAGTGTAGTATAATATAAAATAATGTAATTGAATATAATATAATGTCCTTGAACAGAATCTAATATAGTGTAATATAATATAACATAGTTTCTTTGGGTTTCAATATCGCCCTAGGCCATTCCGTCAACGAATGGGGAGATGGGAAAAGTCCGACGCTGAACAACCAACGCCAAGCCACACGCCGCCTCTGCAGCACGCGACGGCCACCTGAAAGTCAAAGCGCATCAAATCGGGCCCAACGCGACAGAGGAAGCTGGGGCAGCGACGTTGGGCGGCGACTCCAGCAGCTCCTAGGCACAGGCCTGCTACGAAGTGCAAAGCAGTGCAGAGCATCGAGGCATGAACCCCTCAGCCCCCAAGCCTGCAACGGAGCTCGATGGGTGAAAGCGCTCGGCAGCTGGCCGCGCAGTCTCTGGGCGCCCGGGGCGCCGTGGTGCGGAGTGCAGTCGAGGCAAAGCGAAGCTTGCGTCCGCGATGTCGGACGAAGGACCAACGGCTCCTGGACGCACTCCATAGCACGAACGCTCGACCGTTGGAGCCTAGCAGACGACATAGCCAGGCCTTTCAGCATTGGGTCGGATCCCGAGCCTGGAAACGTAGCGCAGTCCGTCATGGCTCGACGCCGCTCAGAACACGACCTTCCCGCTTAGCCTTTCAGACTTGGAACATCATGGAACCAGTCAACAAGGGCTCTAACAAACTCGACGTGGCCATCTGCATCAAGCATCTGCACAACAAGAAGGTTCCATTCCAGTCGGTCGGCAAACAAGATGTGTTTCAACAAATTCTTGAGCGCGGCATGCATCGGATCCGGATCTTTACACCCTCCAACAGACATGAAATACTCAGTTGCAAGCCGCTATGCCAGGCTCTTTTCCTGCAGGCGTGGCTTGTCTGGCGGCGGGATCAGGGCCAGGAAGACGCCAGAGATTGGACAGCTGCCCGACGAGCTTGTCCGTGTGGCCAGAGTTCGAGGACGTGAATCCAAGCTGCTCCGTCGCCAGGTGTCGCCATCACTGCTGCAGCGGCATTTTGCGACAGTCCTTCAAGAGCTTCTTCCACCTAAGAAAGTGCCAATCAGAGAGAGGTCTGCTTGCAGGGAGTCTGCACTCTTGCATGCTGTCGCCACGTACTGTCACCAGCAGACAGCAATGCAGTCTGACAGTCTCGCAAGATTCTGTCCAGTGCTTTGGGGGAGGTAACGCATCTGGAAGCACTGTAAGAGCTGGACGCAGAAGGGCTGCCTGCACATGAATCTAGAATCTCTGGCATGAAGTGCGAGCAGCCCGATGACTGCCTTCATGACGGCGCCCACAAGCATCCCTACGGCCAACCTGAGTTTGCACAACCCCAAAAGGGTTTCCGCACAAGTCCCTGTCCACACAGGGCCTCCGACCCAAGAAGAAACCTGGCGACACCGGCAAAGGTGACACCCGGCACCCATGTCTCCCTGAGGCTCTCTGCCTGGGGCCACGCCAGCTCTGCCAGCTTTTCGGGCCTTTCGCCGGCGCTTCGGGCGCTTGAAACTCCTCCACCTCCTGGGCGACAAGGGGGGCCAAAAGTGAAGCCTCGTCTCTGGGGCCCCTGGGCTTCGGACGACGGGATCCTTGCTGAGGCTTGGCTTCAGACCTAACCGGCCAAGGGAGGTCAAAAAGAAGCAGCTATACAAAAATACATGTAAAAAAAGCAACAAAACGGACACGAAAAGGCGTCGCGCTTTTCTGCCGGCCAGTAGAGAACCAGCCCGCCTTGAGCGGATCGCTGGGCTTTCGAGTTTCGAGCTCAGAATGGCATTGGAGCCTGCTCGTAGACCCGGTTGGCAGGATTGCCTTTCGTGCACCTGCAGTTGGGCAGAGTCCTTACGGCTGTCAGCGAAGGTGCCAAAGCGTCGGACCAAACATGGCAGCCCATCTTGGACCACGTCCGATCACGAAGCTCAAGCCACCTCTTCGAGGGCAGCTACATGCGGCCGGTGCTCATGGCCTTCTAACGTCTTCCAGGTCTCCCACGCGGCTTGCAGGAGTTTGGTACCCAGGCCACGGCGTTGAAAGTCAGGATGCACGAAAAGCTGCATGACCTGCCGGAAGTCTCAACATCTCTCACTCCACGGCCTGGTTCTCTATGCATCTCTCTGGCCTCTCCAAAGCCATCGCGAGTGTAGCTCGGCCTGACAGATAATGTCTTGTCGGAGAGAAACAAGGTCGTAGTACGCATTTGTTTGCGCGTAACTACAGTATGGACCAATATGGGAAGCACGATCGTTCATGATTCAGACCTAAGGATTAGCTCAAGCAAGAACAGAGCACCCCGCCCGAAGCTGATGAAGGCACTCAGGCGCTGCCTGAGACTTGCTCAGCACTCAGAACTTCAGCTCATGTCTTGGTTCTTCCAAGGGCGCAGCGGTCTCGCCGCGTCGTCTTCAGCGACAATCTGAGCATCTTCTAAACCAGGTGGAAGCAAAGTTGCAGCACAGGTTCGGAGCTCGGAGCCCGGCGAAGTGGCGCTGCCCTGACTCCAGGAAGGAAGTGAAGCCTTGGAGCCCCCGAAAACCCACTTTCGCCCTTCCCCCAACCGCTTTGAGGCACGGGCGTTTCAGCTGTTGTTGCTGCGCCTGTGCCCGCAGTCGAGCACCAGCAACCTTCTACCGTGACTCTACATCTCCACCTCGTCATCCAATGCAGACGCCGTGGCAGACTCGCCGGTCCTTCGACGCGCGTCGAGACAGCCAAAGATGGCCGGGGACGCATGAAGACCCCACGATGGTCCCACGACACGTTGCTCCTCAGCAACACTGAGCCGTGTGAGCGCCAAGTCGCCAGGTACACGCGTACGATCTCCGGCCTCAGCTCAGGCTCCAGAAAGCGAAAGACCCGTCAGAAAGATGCCCCTTGGGGAGTGGCGCATCTTGAGGCACCGCTTTCCTGCGTCTCGCTCTGATAAGTTTTGAAGTTTTGCTCTGCTTGACTTGCACATGGCAGCCTGAGCATGTCAAAGGCCTCCGCGCGGGCCTAGGGAAGCAACGACTGGCTAAGTGACACTATGTTCACAGATCGGGCACAGCCTCTTTGATCGTCCATGCCGCTGACACGGCTTGCCGCAACCATGCACGAGTACTGCGAGATGTGAGGGCTTTATACTCATTGCACGATGGAACTGCATGCTATCAGCTCTATATTGAGAGGTACCTCTTCCCCAAACCAGCTGCTGCCCTGTTTTGCTCATCAATTTGGTTAGGCCGGAAAGCCTGAGAGGCAAAATGTTCGTCCATTTCAGACCTTTCATGTAAAATGCTCAGATGACCAGAATGGTGCCTCTGAGCGGAATCCAGCAGGTTGACTGTCGCAGGGACGCCGGCAAGCCTTTTCCTTGGAATACTCGCGACCAATCCTGCCAAACGTTTCGGAGGCAGTCTGGCCATAAGGCCCATCGGTTGCGAAGAAGGGCTGTAGAGCGTAGTGCAGCTCAGCCATGTTAAAAATGGACTACTCCTTCCATCCGACGGCTGCTCATTTGCTATGCTTAACTCTGAGAAAAAATTGGCCTGGCTATCATGCCCAGCCTCGATAATTGCCTGGGAGGCAAGTGAGACTGAGAGCAGTGTGCTCTCTTTGCACGCATGTCTAAATGAAGACACCAGCGAGTTCACCAGCATCTATGGGCGACTTAACCTCGGCACACGAGCAAGTCAATAAATCTCTACAAGCTGTCAGAACGCAGTGCCGTTTCGGGCGGCAACATGGCACAGGCTGGTCCACGAACCTTGGCCGAAGGGGCATTCCCAATGGGAGGGGGCTGAGGGCACATGTTCCAGTAAGTTTTCACCCTTAGATTCCCGAATTGACCAGCAGGCCCTCGGTTCTTCAGGGTCAGCTTCCCTGCCACAGTTCACAGAATGGATACTCCGATGCCTCTGAGATGCGAGAACCTGGGACTGCCCAAAGGCAAACTGTCGTTACCCACTGATTCCGGTCATCGGGGGCAGAACAAAGACCGAGTGCCGGTTCGAGTCAGCAGATCCTAGACTTCACACTGTGTCAACAACTACTTAGAGGATCATGGGACTTAGTAAGTAAGGTTTTAAGTACCCTAATTGGGGTTATAATTATAGTTACCTTATTTATAACCCTAGTTACGAAGTCCCATGATCCTCCAAGTACCTTCTCCCTGATACGGCATGGATGAAGGGTGCTCAGAAAGCCCCGGCAAGTCCTGTCTTTATGGGGAACATGCTTGGTCGAGGATGCATCGCAAGTCTGGGGCCCCGGCTTTTCTTTCAGCATGTCAAGCCGCTCATCCAAGGAGACCTTGTCCCACTAAGTCTCTGCAAGAGTCAGCTGCCCCAAGAAAACAGCGCCACAGTTTCGGACACACTTGCAGAGCACGTTGTCATCAACTTCCTGGAGCATCTCGAAGAAGACACTCATGTCCGGACCTGGAAACAGGGAATGAAAGCTGCTGAAACTCGAAAAAAGCCGACCCAGCCTTGAGCCGAGGAGGTCAGGCACAGCCCTGGGAGTCCACACAAGCGAAGCTTTGCGATGTGCTAAAGCTTTTTTCTGCGTTGTCTACTGACCGGCTTGAACTTGGCAAGGTCTGGAACTGCTCTAATTACTCCACTTCCATGCAGAAATGATCTGATCTCTCCTCGAGCGTTGCCCAAATCATCACATGCGCGTGAGGCGAGTGCGAAGAGGGACCAGGAGGGCTTTCTTCTTCACACCTCCACGGGCCTGCAAGCAAAGGCGAACTGCCAGCATGACCAACCTGCTCGCTTGCTATCAACTTTGCAACTACTGCTACTCTTACTCCCCCTGCCAGTACTCCTACCACGACGACGACCGCGACTTCGCACTTCTACTTCTACACCACCACCACCACGACCACCACCACCACCACCGCCACCACCACCATTTCTGTTTGTTGCTTCTGCCTCAAACTGCCTTTCTGACTCGTGTGCTTACCAGTCTCCACCACGACCAGAACCAACCCTCATCACCACCCCATAGGCACGGACAGGATCATCATCACCAATCCCGACTCCTAGTCTTGTGGCCACAACGGAGGCAAGGCCCCAATTGTCCGAAGCTTTGCTCATTGACTCATGTTGCTTCTTTCTGACCATTCTGAAGAAGTGTGGCCCTACTGGTGTCAGCTACTAGCTGGTTCCTCTGAAACCTGGAAATCGTATCTCCGTTTCTGCCACTGTCTTTGAAAGGGCCTCGCTGATCTGCTTTGCAATCTTCTTCATCACCTGCCACTCTTTTTTCGAAAGCGTTTTCTGGCGTATCGACATCGACAGCTGCAGCCTGTGGATCCTTCCCAATGTCATCAAAGTCGCCCTGCTCCTGGCCGTCTCTGCTGCACGTTGTCTATGTAAGACTCCATTCTGTTGGCACATACCGCGACTTTGCTCATGTGCTGCAAAACGGCTCATAACTTCTTCTAGTTGCAGGAAGCCTTCGCTTTCAAGAGCAGCTGCGCGGTCTCATTGAGCGAGCCGTCCTGAAGTGCAGAGCCCGACATGTGCCGTTGAACAGCTTCGGGGCCACCCTAGCCACCGTAGCCTCTATGTACGGCTTAGCCACCTCCTTCGCCATCATTCCCTGTCAGAGCGATCAAGCAGATCTGTGCTGCAAACCGGGGCCAACGCACACCTCCAGATCAAACTCGAGCATGGCAGTCAGCTCCTGACTGCAAGGAATCATCCTTGCACGTCTCTCAGGCTCGGCTTCGCTTCAGGAAGGCCTCGACGGCATCTTCGAGGGTGCTTATTCGGTCTCTGAGCCTCAAGGCGCTAATTAGTCAACTGCCCTAGCGGTCTGCGCATCCAACGGCAGGCAGCGAAGCAACGGTAGAGAGCAATGCATCACATGTACAGTGTGAAATGCAGAATACAGCAAGATATAGCTAAATATCATAAGATAAGGTCTAATCTGATGACATATAAAAGATGATCGCCTATAACGTAAAGCGCTGCTGTACGGTAGCATACTATACGTCATCACGATGACACTCACTGCCTTGTCTCACATCGTAACGCCATATATAATGTTACAAGATGCTATGCGATATCATGGGGTGCCAGACGGCATGGTACCTCGATGCTATTTCTGCGGGATGTGTGCTAAATTGCTTGCAGTCTACTCTGCTAGATTTACTGCATCAGAATAGTACGTTCTCCATGATCCAGCACTATGGTGTCCATTGCGCTGCGTATACTGCATATGTTGCATGATGTATGAGTTGTGCCCCACCGTGATCAGATTTTTGTTTTATTTCGAACAACGAACCCATGCATGTAGTGTCCTTGCAGAAGATGTATCTTGCCTGTTGGGATACTACTTGCATGTCAAAAGCCAGCGAATCGATATCAATGTCCCGTGTTGGTCAGCGCAAACAGATGCACATGTGACAACAAGTCGGCGAACGCGACATGAGCAACGCGCTGAAACTTCAGACACCGCAACTGCAGGATTTGTGTGCCCGTTTAGCAAGAAAAATAAACAGTAGTCAACATCGGTATGTGCTTTCACTAGATTGAGATGCTCTTCATGGTTGGTTGAGACGTGGCGTAAAGGCTCTGCTAGTCATACATCTTTTCAAAACATTCCAGATTGATAAGGGCCTAATACCGCAGGAAAGCAAAAAGACTTCTGCTAACTCTTCTGGAGCTACCTTCATCATCTCCAATGTACGTAAGCCTGCACCTACACTACCTGGACCAACCAACATTAGGATGCTATGTCCTACTGGAAGGGTGTGTAGCCGGCGATATCTTATCATCACTTAGCTTGATGTCGTACGCGGATACAGAGCAACTCATCTGTGATTTCGAAATCAGAGACAGAGCAGTTTTCTCATGTCGTGGAGTGAAACACCATCCAAAACAGAAGAGCCGCTATCTTTGTTTTGATAATGCACAATAGCGGAGGTGCCATTTAGCGGGAAGTGGATGTCCTTGATTCAGGATGGATGGGTATGTAGACGGGGAATGCCGAAAGGTTGAAGGCCATAACTGCATATTGATTGTCTACATGCATGGCTGGCATGGTGTGTATACTTCTGCGGAGCTCACCGTCTTGTTGAGAAACAGGAGCGAAAACGCTACTTTATGACCAACCGGATGAGTTGTGTTAATCTGTTGATCTTGCTTGAGCAGAGCATGAGCTTCCTTACGTTGGTGAACATGTGCGAAGGTATGACTGACCAATACTACTGTTATGACCGATGTTACGCAACTAACTACGTTTGAAGCTCGATAATGCCACCAACATATGTATGTTAGCAGGCTTTGCCAGTACTCATAGGACCATTAAGAACACAGTAGTTCATAAGGCATTCGTCTACATCTATTCATGTGGCTGGCATTTTGGTGTTGGTACTACTACAAGTACAAGCATAAGGTCGCCACTACTTCGACTGTCTTGAACTGACCAATACGAGTACCAGTGATCGAAGTATTAGCTTGACTAGCCATGGCCTCGCATGGCTTCTGATACTACTGCCGTTGATGAGCTGATCTGCTGTGATTCAATGGTTTCAGCTTCGCTTTGTGTCTGAATCCTGCTTCGCAGCTTCCAGTAGTTGGCCATCTCGAGAAGACCGAGGTCGGTTCTGTGGGAGGGATACCCTAAATTTCCATCATTTCTCGAAGCTTGTACCCAGCATATAAATATGTATATATATATATATATATATATGGCATCCCCCCCCCAAAGATCTATCCGATTCTGTCTGTTTTGAGCTCTTCGTGTGCAATCCGTGCCTATTTGCTCTTCATGTCGTCTGTATGCCTGTCTTCCCACGTGAATACCCCAACATATAGCAAACAAACACACATCCACACACGCACACAAGGTCTGTGGAACTTCGCAGTACTATGGCCT